CGGTCCCCTCCACCGGGGACGCCGAGGGCGAGGGTGGGCGGGGTGCCTCGGGGACGGCCTGGGTTGCCGAAATGGTCAGTGACGGAGGGAATGGCCTGGAGCCGCGGGTGTTGGGAACTAAACCTCCTTCTGGGTGTCGGACTCCACGCACGAAAGAACCGCCCGCCACGCGTGTAGTCAGTGGGTCTGCCGTCGCCGGAAGGGCCTCGGCCCCGGGCACGCCGCCCTGTCCCAGGGCGCGATCTGTCCGAATCTTTTTCCGAGCTGCCTTCTGTGATCTTGCCGAGGAGCCTCATTGTTTTAGCTCTCATAGCTTTGCAGTGTGTTTTAGTTTCACTGTCTGATGAACAGTGTTCCCGAGGGCAGTTTTAAAAGAAGTTGTAAACTTCTGACCTGCTCGGAGCCCGCTGGGCCCTGGGAAGCGTGGGATGTTGGAGTCCCAGGGAGGATTTCTTTTCTTCCTGGTTGGTTATGGTTCCGGGGGCAGAGACCCTGCGCTCGTAGTCTTTCTGATCTTCTCCCGCCGGGACACATTCTTCACTGCTCCGTCGGCCCTGGGGATCAGGGGTGATCCTCTGCCAGGTTTAAGGGCGTCCATTGCTGGGACTGCGCCTCCTGAGGATAGTCTTCTCTGTCTCCCCTAACACTCTGTTCCCTGGCTTGTCCCCAGCCCCTCTCTGCCCTTTTTTCTTTAATGTTTCCAACGTTCCCTTTCGGTATCAGTATTGAGTGAGATTCTCTTGTCGGCCTTCTTGTCTAGCATTTTATCAGTGATTCTTAATCTTTATTTTTCTCTTTTTGCCACAGACTTCTCTGGGATTTGAGGAAATCTCCGGGGCCCTCCTCCCAGAAGACAGACATGTTCATGTAAAAGCTGTACATGTCCTGGGAGAAGAAGTCCTGATCCTGACTCTGTCCAGATACTCAGGGCTTTTCCATCGTGGTCCCAGCTGATTTGTACACATTAGGGCACCAGAATCGGTACTTTGGGCCCAGCCAGTCTTGAACTTCACATCCTTACTTTCAGGTCCTACCAGACATCTGTACTCACCTGTCCCACGGGCTCTTCAAACTCAGCATACCTGAAATTAAAGTCATTGTCTCCCAGTAATCTTAGACCACTTCCCTACGTATCTAACTTAAGGATGATCCAATCTAATAACAATGCCTAAGGCAGCGGTTCTCAACCTGTGGGTCGAGACCCTTTGGCGGTCGAACGACCCTTTTACAGGGGTCGCCTAAGACCATCCTGCATATCAGATATTTACATTACGATTCATAACAGTAGCAACATTACAGTTATGAAGTAGCAACAAAAATAATTTTATGGTTAGCTCACAACAAGGGCCAGAAGGTTGAGAACCACTGGTCTAAGGCATTATTCTGTGTGGTACCCATCTTTGGTTTCCCACACTTCCTTCTGAGGCCTAGCATGTAGTTGGCATCCAGTTGTGAAGTCATTCATTGGCTCCTTCATCAGCTGTGAATGCTCACAGTGCACCTACCAGGCACTGTTCTTGGGATTGGCAGAATTTGTTGTTACTTCAGTGGAGTTGCAGTGTCTCCCACCTCATTTTATAGGTAAAGAAATTGGACAGGTCAGTAAGCCACCACCAGGTTCTCCGGACTGCCCTTTGGTGCTATGAGTATCTTCCAGTGTGAGATCTTCTCACATAATTACACTGAGACAGTTAAAATTAATTGCAGGAAGACTGTGCATCTTAATAGGCCTCCTTTGTAATGTTTGAGCTAGTTCTATTTCATAAAGCAGTCTTAGTTCAAGCAAGTCAACGTGGGTGTTTTCCAGTTGGCCCAGAGAGGAGAGAGGGCCTAAATTACAAATATTGTATAACCACCCCGAAGCCATGGAATTATTCATTTTTTTTGAGGGGATGAGGTAAAGAGTTAAGTGCAAGGAGACTAGCTGGCCATGGTATGGGGCTAGATGGAGTCAGGAAAAGGGTTTGTCCAATTTTCATTTTAGATAGTTGCTTTGGTAATAATCAGTGCTTGTCCTGTATCACTCCCATTTGTGAGGGCTATTTAGATTAATAAAATATCTCCACTTACATAACTGCATTGATTGCTGAGTAAGGCCTGATATTAAAGACAGAATGAGGTTCGTTTATTTAATATGGTAGCAAAAATTAAAACATCCTATATAGCCCTAACCAGTTTGGCTCAGTGGATAGAGCGTCGGCCTGCGAACTGAAGGGTCCCAGGTTCGATTCCAGTCAAGGGCATGTACCTTGGTTGCGGGCACATCCCCAATAGGGGGTGTGCAGGAGGCAGCTGATCGATGTTTCTCTCTCATCGATGTTTCTAACTCTCTATCCCTCTCCCTTCCTCTCTGTAAAAAATCAATAAAATATATTTT